TTTTTAAGAAACAGTCAAAATAGGAGAATCACATCTACATTCTGGAGAAACTTACGCAGGAATAGCCTTTGGTTTTATTATATCTTTCAAACAGGCTTCAGCCAAAGCACCTTCATCCGTATCTGAATTAGAATCCTGCATATATGTTGCTTTTGCCAAATATAATAGAAAAAGAAAAGATCAGCTGCAGCCCAAAAATGTGAGACGAAGGAAGGCTAAACAACAATACAGGTAGTCCACAATTTACCACAGTTCATTTAGTGACCATTCAGTTACAACAGCACTGAAAAAAAGTGACATGGTCATTTTTCACACCTACGATTGTAATGCCCTCTTGATCATGTGATCAAAGTTCAGTTGCTTTACAACTGGTTCATACTTATGACGATTGCAGTGTTCCGGGATCATATGATCAGCTTTTGTGAGCTTCTAACAAACAAACTCAAGTGAACCCAGGTTCACTTAACAACCACTTAACAACGTAAGTTAATAACTGTGGCAAGAAAGATTATAAAATGGGGTGAAACTCATTTAACTAATTTTTGGCTTAGCAACATAAATTTTGGGCTAAATTGTGGTCGTACGTTGAGGACTAGCTATATATCCTTAAGCAATAGGAAATATAGAGAATGAGGGAAATGTTTTGTTCCAATCACAGCATAAACAATTGCATTGTGAAACTTTTACTGAACTGTTTAGCCATCCATAGTTTGAAATTATAAAAACAAAATCTGGACAGGATAAGTAAATCAAAGCTGATGTACCTAGTCTTCACTCTCCATTCCACTTTCCAAATCAATTTATTCCATTGGTGAGCTGGGACACCCCCTTTATCTATTTAGTTGCTGTTTCCTTTAGCTTTCTCCCATTCTCTCTCTTTCCGCCCCACTTTTATCTGGACCACAAATAGCTGTTTGCGCATAGATCAAAACAGCTGTGCTTTAATTCAAGCATAGGACGCCTAGAAACCTTGTACAGTTTAATTTCTGCATGCAACATTTTGTATAACCTTACTAGGAGCTGTGGATTAGAATGATTTTTTTTAAAAAAATATTCTTCTTTCACAAAGGTTCCACTTCATGTTTGAGGTTATTTACAGCAAAAATGCTTTAGAACAGGGTTGTCAAATTTGATTTCATTGAGAGCTGCATTGATCTGGGGGGGTGGGGGTGGGTGAGATCAACACCACTCGTATCAGGGGGCCTGTGTGCCCGAGTGCTCTGCCAGCAAAAACGGGCTCCCAAGCTCCATTTTAGGCTGTGATGGCCTCCTGCAACCCTCTGCCAGCGAAAATAGAGTCGGGAGGGCTGCACACAGCCCTATTTTTGCTGGGTGAGATCTAAGCACCCCCGGGCCTTGAGTTTGACATCCCTGCTTTAGAAAGTTACCACTCAAGTTAAGATTCTGCATGCAACAAGCTAATCTTAAATTCTTTGAAAATGTACCTGTCACTTGGTGGTGTTGCGCATAAGAATCAAGCTCAGAGTCATTAGAGCCATTTCCATTTTCTGAGTCAGACCAAGGATTTACTGTCATTGCTTTTTTTATTGGCTTATTGGACTGTGTCTTGACACCTGAAATTTAGCAGACTTGTTGGACCACTTATAACACAGGCCACAGAAAACATAAACTCGCAGGGAAATTTGATTCCTGCTAAAAAAATTTTTTTTACCTGACTCCATTTTCAGTCTCTTCATCAATCTTTGTTTAAGATTCGTTGGTTCCTTGGTGGTCCCTGGGAGATCTTGATTCTCATCAAGCTCAATTTTTTCAGTCTATAGATCAGCAAATGTGAAAGAGAGTTTATCATTACTGGGGATAGGTGAAAGAGAGTTATGAAACTAGTGAAGAAAACTGAATACATATACCCCTCCCAAGACTGTTTACCTTGATTTTTCTTTTTAATTTCTTCTCTGCCTCCAATTTCATCTCTTTGGTTATTCGAGGGATAACTCTCCTCCCTTGGGGAGAAGGGAGGATTTCCTGAAGCTGAAGGGTTTTTGCTTTTGCTTTCCCTCCTTTCCCTTTGCTGGGTTTGCCTGGGATTCCTAACATCTCATCCTGTTTTTCTTTTGCTTCTAACACCTAAAGTGTGGATAATAAAAACAAAAACTAATAGTTTGCAATGTTTGGATTTGCAAGTGTGAAATTTCACCAAAAGAAAATCATCTTATTTGAGGGTTAGGGTATTTCTGCTTTAGCATCAATCTGCAGTTCTACACAAATGGAAGAGAAGAATTCTATATTCAAATCTGAAATAGGTAGCAATCTTTGCATGCATTAATAGAGCTCATGTCACTGGAATTTCAGGGCTATGCGTACATCTGAGCTTTGATCGCTCTGTATGTTTGCTTTAAAACATACCAATAGTCACAACATTTCAGCCCCTCTTTTTAAATGCCAGCACCTTACCCAAATGAAGACACAGAACTATTGATAAGCAATGTTTCACTTAAACTGGAAGTTGACTGTATCTGGCCCCAAAATCCAAGTTTACCCACATCAAGTTCCTGAATGAAAGCAGCCATATCTTCTCTCCATAAGTCAGTAGGATTCCTCTGTTCCAGGTTTTCTAACTCTGTTTCCTAATAAAGCCAGCAAAAAACAGTTAAGTCCATATCTGACCTTTCAATACTATTGTACAAGTATTTTTTTTTTAAAAAAAACAACTCATCCACCTACTTTATTATCCCGCTGCTTACACATTTCATCCTTTTTTTCTTTTGTTAGGTACCAGAGGGGCATGTTCAGAAGGTAGTTAAAATCTGGCCCACTGGCTGCAGTCGATTCATTTTCTTTATCAGTATCTTCTTCTGCATTTTCATCAATGTCCTGACATGGCAGAAGAGAGATGTGACCAGGGTTAATAGCATAATATAGTACTTAGTACTTGTCCTTTCAAGGGGATCAGGAGATAACCCATTCCTTTCTCACAGTACTTTCCTTTAGGGTACCTACAGTACCTGCTTCAGAAAGCCAGTGTTTGGCATGAAGATCTATTTTCCACTATAATAATATGGAATTTTAAAGAGTTTTTTTTTCTAAATTATTGGCCCAAACCCTTAACAATTGAGTAATTAGAAAGAAGAGAATGAAAACCATACCTTCTGTTGAGATTCTTTCCATGCCTTTACTGGATCAGAATCATAACCCCTTTCAATGAGAACCTGGATTAATTCTTTCTTGGGCTTGTTCTCTAGAGAGGAAGACCACCAAGAACAGATGAGCCAGCAGCCAAAATAAAGTGTCATATTTAGCACCAAGCTAAGAACATGTCAACTTGCTATGCCACAAACACAAAAGCCACACCAAAATTTTGGAATTACTCTTAATGGAAAGCAGAAAAATAAATACCCATATGTTTAGCACTTCAAGCTGTACATTCAGTTTAAATTTTATTGTGTAGATTATTTAAGTTTTTATTTCTAGAAAAGGAAGCTTAGAGGAAAGATGCCTGTCAGGGGAGATAATTCTTTGTTAGATGTTGGCTTTTATTCTGTCCATTCTAACCCAGAAAGGGAAGCTAGGAACTATTTCCGTAATACTTGTTCTACTTTTAATGGCTTGTAACAAAATCCTAACAGTGCTTACCTATCACTATTTTCCCTTCTATTTTTTCAAGGATGAAGCGAGCTTGGTTGTTTAGTTTTGCAGATTCTGCACCCAGCATGCCAGTGAGCCACTCTTTTCTTAAACCGTAATAACGCAGTCTGACTTGATAGAATTCGTCTAGAATATCCTCTGCAGTCTCATATTTTTTAAGGCAGCCTGCATGGTCAAAAAGTACCTGAAACAAAGAGTAAGGTACCACAGATCTATAGATAGCAGGGCTGTGATCATGCATTTAAAAGCCGGATACAATTCCTTTAATGATTCCATGTAGAACATTACATTACATGGTCTAATCCTACTCACCTCCATTTCTCACTATGATATTTTGATACTTTAAAGGAATTGTACATGCCTGGTTTCTAAAACAGGCCCTTACTTAATCAATCTTAATCACTTAATCAAGTGCAAATCTCTCTCAAAGTGGCAAGAGCAAAAAAGCTTTCAGAATTTGGGGGGGGGGGGGGGAAGTAGCTCTTCCTAATGTAGCAGAAATCACATAAGTAGCTAAAAAA